CCCCCTTTCTCTTTTCCCCCCTCGTCGTTCCTCTTCTTCCCCCTCGCTCGTTCCTCTCCTTCCCCCTCGCTCGTCCTCTCTCTTTCCCCCTCGCCGTTCCTCTCTTTTCCCCCTCGCTCTTTCCCTCTCTCCCCCCCCCCCTCGCTCGTTCCTCTCTCTTCCCCCCTCGCTCGTTCCTCTCTCTTCCCCCCTCGCTCGTTCCTCTCTTTTTCCCCCTCGCTCGTTCCTCTCTCTTCCCCCTCGCTCGTTCCTCTCTTTTTCCCCCCTCGCTCGTTCCTCTCTCTTCCCCCCTCGCTCGTTCCTCTCTCTTCCCCCTCGCTCGTTCCTCTCTCTTCCCCCCTCGCTCGTTCCTCTCTTTTTCCCCCTCGCTCGTTCCTCTCCTTTCCCCCCCTCGCTCGTTTCCTCTCTCTTCCCCCCTCGCTCGTTCCTCTCTTTCCCCCTCGCTCGTTCCTCTCTCTTCCCCCCTCGCTGGTTCCTCTCTCTTCCCCCCTCGCTGTTCCTCTCTCTTCCCCCCTCGCTGGTTCCTCCTCTTCTCCCCCTCGCTGGTTCCTCTCTCTTCCCCCCCTCGCTCGTTCCTCTCTCTTCCCCCCTCGCTGTTCCTCTCTCTTCCCCCCCTCGCTCGTTCCTCTCTCTTCCCCCCTCGCTCGTTCCTCTCTCTTCCCCCCTCGCTCGTTCCTCTCTCTTCCCCCCTCGCTCGTTCCTCTCTCTTCCCCCCTCGCTCCTCTCTCTTCCCCCCTCGCTCCTCCTCTCTTCTTCCCCCTCGCTCGCGCTCTTCCCTTCTCACTCCTTTCTGTCCTTTCGTCACTCCTTTCTTCTTTCCTCAATCTTTTCTTCCTTCTTTCCTCACTCCTTTCTTCCTTCTTTCCTCACTCTTCTTCTTCTTTCCTCACTCCTTTCTTCCTCTGTTCCTCATCCTTTTTCCTCCTTCTACCTTCTCCTTTCCTCACTCTCTGTTCCTCACTACTTTCTTCCTCCTTTCCTCACTCCTTTCTTCCTCCTTTCCTCACTCCTTCTTACTCTTTCTTCTCCTTTCCTCACATCTTTCTTCCTCCTTTCCTCACTCCTTTCTTCCTCCTTTCCTCACTCCTTTCTTTCTCCTTTCCTCACTCCTTTCTTCCTCCTTTCCTCACTCCTTTCTTCCTCCTTTCCTCACTCCTTTTCTTCCTCCCACTTTCCTCACTCCTTTCTTCCTCCTTTCCTCACTCCTTTCTTCCTTCTTTCCTCACTCCTTTCTTCCTTCTTTCCTCACTCCTTTCTTCCATCTTTTCTCACTCCTTTCTTCTATCTTTTCTCACTCCTTTCTTCCTTCTTTCCTCACTCCTTTCTTCCTTCTTTCCTCACTCCTTTCTTCCATCTTTCCTCACTCCTTTCTTCCATCTTTCCTCACTCCTTTCTTCCATCTTTCCTCACTCCTTTCTTCCATCTTTCCTCACTCCTTTCTTCCATCTTTCCTCACTCCTTTCTTCCATCTTTCCTCACTCCTTTCTTCCATCTTTCCTCACTCCTTTCTCCATCTTTCCTCACTCCTTTCTTCCATCTTTCCTCACTCCTTTCTTCCATCTTTCCTCACTCCTTTCTTCCATCTTTCCTCACTCCTTTCTTCCATCTTTCCTCACTCCTTTCTTCCATCTTTCCTCACTCCTTTCTTCCATCTTTCCTCGCTCCTTTCTTCCATCTTTCCTCGCTCCTTTCTTCCATCTTTCCTCACTCTTTTCCTTCCTAGCCCTCATTCTCTCCCCTGCTCATTCCCAACCCTCACTCTCCCCTGCCCATTTCCTCGCTCCCTTCCCGCATTCAGGGTGCTGCATGATTGTAATTAAATATGTTCATGCAAGAGTTAAAAAATATTTTCTGTGATATTTCCTGATATCAAATACTTAAGTACATTTGTAAGATAAGAAATAAAATAATTCTAGGTTAAGAGGAAGACTCATATTATGCAAATATATGTATGTAGTACAATTTACTATGTTTATTCTACTGATGTGGTTTGTGATGCTTTCTTTTGGAGTGCATCTTATACTAAGAGCCATTGTAGCAAGAGGTTGCACAATCTGTTCATTGGTGGATCAAAAATATTATCAGTAATCCTAAGAGTGCTAGTTTGTATGTGTAGTGAGGAACTGTAACTTCTGACAACTTTTTACATACAAAAGAAATAGTTTGCTGACTTTAATTTTCCACTATTTCAGATTCATTTATGGATTTATTTATTCATGTAAATATACATTTGTAGTTGCCAATGCATTTTTTTTTTTCAAATTAATAAAGAATATCTTAATGTTTCAGCATGATGGCATACAGTGTGTATAATGAAAGAACACTACTTCATTGAGTTTGCATAAAAGCATCAATGAAAATACCGTAGCTTACAGCTTATATGTACTTCCATTATTTTCTTTACAGGCATCTTTGATTATCTTGGTGTTCCCTCTTAATGTTGGGTAATATTGGTAAAAGTTTGGTGAGCTGTAACCATGTCTAGTGACGATTATGATTATGACGAGTAAGTACTACTGCCAGTCCCCTAGTAATGCCTGGCTGGATGCAGGCGGGTGGTTTGGTCTCGACTGCTGTATGCCCAAAGGGACCTGGGTTTAAGGGATAATACAGTACATTATCAATTGAAAGTGTATACAGTATTTGAAAGACTAATCAGTAATGTGTCTTAAGATAAATCCATTATTTTTTTGATATACGTATATAATAAAAAAGCTAATAATTGATACAAGAGTACAGTAATCTCTTGCCTAATGTCCATTCGTTTAGCACAGTTTTGCTTAGCGAGCAAAGATGTCTTAGGGAATAACTTTGCCTAACAACTGCCTCTACCCCTAGAATGCATCCTGGTCATTCAGTGGGTGATTACTGTATTCTCCAATAAAGTTTTCATTTAAACATTTAAGCATAAATGAAATATTTTATTTCATCTGGCCTATTCACATTTAAAAGCTTTCAAACAAAAAGATGCATTAAATGAAATTATATTCTCAAGCCAATATGCAGTACAGTATCCCTTGTACCCAAGTTGCTACAAAAATCCGGCTTACTTGAGCACCCTCGACTGCAAGCTTCAGAGGATGCAAGTGGAACTACATAGTACAGTATATATTGTATGTTCATATTAGTTGTGCAGTCTTCTTACACCCTAGTATCACCTAGAGTTTAAACACTTTTTCATAGCTAATGAAATGGAAAAGGGTATGGACTAAATTAAGGATTTTGTTGTTTAAGAAACTGTCCTCTTAATATCACTAGCTCTCCTTCATATTTTGAATTGGAATAATTATAGTATTGTATTTTATAACAAATTTATGTTTTCTATTTAACTTGGATCCCCCCCTCCTTATTTTTTTTTAATTTGGAGTGCTTGGTGAAATACTGGAGAGTAGTCTCTTGCATTTTTATTTATCTGTCCCCTTATTGTATTGTATCAACTCTTCCTGCACATTATCTGTCTTAAACCAGATGCTGTTTTGCATCTCTCCAACAGGATGCCATATGCTGAACATAGCAACAGTCTTTTCTTGGTGGAGGGAATGTCTCTGGGTGACTATAAGATTATTTGTGGATACAACATTTGTCTCCTCAGACCTAGGCTCTGCTGTTCTAGATTGCATAGTAAATGGCAAACCCCCAAAATATTTAATTAGGTGACAGTCAGGAAGCTCGCACTTAACACAGACAACACCTGCAATATATTGTATTTGTAAACGAAAAACTAACCACAAATATTGAGGTAAGTGATACTCATGTGAAAGAAAAGAACAAAAATTCCTGAGCATTTACTTAAATAAGAGACTGTGAATTCAACTCTCATCCAGCTCCATAAAAAGGCTTAAAGAAAGAACAAGGGTTATTTTTTTTTAAAAGATTCTTTATACCAAGCTACAGTACACTGTTCACACTACTGCACACTAATCTACCTATATATCGTGGAATTATGGTGTACATGCTTGGTGATCACTAACAGTGAACTATCTAAAACCAGTCATAAGTGCATAGAGTCTGGATGTAATAATACATACTCGGCACAACTTAGCAAGGATTTATTGAGAGAGCGAAGGTTGCATGTTCTCCTGGGCAAGGCTGACATAGACTGCCTTACTGCTTGTCCATCATTGGGTGCTGCCAAGCCTGCCCACACTAATTTATACAGGACTAAACATCAAGTATGCTTCCATTTTAAGTAGGCAAGATCATTAATTAAAGAACAAATACAGTACTGCAATTCTTGATGATTGATCAGTTAAGAGAAGCAGATATATACAAGTAGTTAATTAGATAGAAGTTGCTAGCCTGCAAGACTTGCTATATATGCGGCCTTTCTCTTTCTTAGAGGACAGAGAAATTAACAAGCTATCATTCATAGGCTGTAGCCATTCATACTCATTGAATGGCCCATATATGTTTATAAGTGTCTTGCCTCTGGCAAGACTGTGATCGAGTGAACGATGGTAAAAATTTATCCTTTTCTTTGGGTCACCCTACCTTGGTGGGAGACAGCTAGTGTGTTAAAAAATAATAATTGTAGGATCTGTAATACGTGTCCCAGGTGGTTTTTGTTCCTAAGCATTAGGCACTCGGTTATCCATCTTGATCATGTATTTACAGGATTTGCTTGTTTCAAAAGCAAAAAGTTTACTGATACAAGATATCAATATTTTCTGATTGAATTTATAGAAAATTGCAGAATCATGCCTAATTGTTATAAAGTACATATATTTTTTTAAGGAAAATGCTTGGTGTATTAAGCTATGCTTTGACAGCATTTGCAGGCTCTTATTCAGCAGAGATCAATATTTAAAATATTTTTAAGAGGGAAATCTGTTATCTATGGGTAGGGAAATATGCTTTAATAAATGGGTGCCTGAGGTTGATATTATACAGGTGGAAGAAGTTGGAGAGATTTAAAAATACCTACTGATCAGCATGCATCATTATTGTACTGATAAATCAGCACTTGCATATTAATCATTTGGGACTCAGTAACCAGAATGTTTTCTACACAGAACTCAAATTTGCCTGAGAGAGGATAAGATGAAACGAAATACTCTATGTTTTTTGGTACCAGATTTTGATTAACTGGGTCCTGAATGGAGTATTACAGTACAGTACAAGTATATGTTTTGGGAGCCTGTATTTGGTGATGGGGTTCTTGTACTGGTAGTACTACAGTAAATGTGAAAGCAAACATTATACTGTACATGTATGCACATTTAAAAGTTAATGAGTTCATGTATACATGGTACAAGAGTTTGGCTATTAAAGGTATTTCTCTGCATGTTATATGATTTTGAAATTTTTTAGTACTGTAATATTATATCCACTGTTCCTTGTGGTGATGCTAATTAAGGGCATGGAAAGCAAACATTTTTGTCTTCATTTTGCTAAAATGATTGAAATACAGTATTATGGGTAATGCAGTGGGATTGTCTTTCATACAGTGATGATTTATTGTGAGGGATCTTCATATATTGCTGGGTGTCATATTACTCGGAAAGTCTTTTTTTTTTTTTTTTATTAATTTTTCCTTTCTTTTTTAATTTTATTTTTAAATAATGCAGTATAATTTTTCTGAAATCTTCCCCATGATCAATTTTTCACAACAGTGGAAGAATGTTTTTAGTACATATTTCAGATTAATGTGGCCCAGCTATATTAGGTTTTAGTTTAATAAATAATAATAAATGATAATTGATTATTATTATAGTGTATTTCATAATACTCTACTTATAGGGTACAATAAATTGAAAGCCTAAAGTATGCACACAATATGTATTTGGTAAAGTTAGATTAGGACTAAGAATATTAATACTAAAAGACTACATAGGTGTAGGGTTATTTTATGCTTGTAGGTCTGGTACATGCTAGTGTACCAGACTACAAGCATATTATATATTCAAAGGTTAGTCATTAAAAATTGAAATTGTAATTGAAAGTTTGGAAATAGTTTAATTGTATGAAAGTACAGCATAACAGAAGATTAGTAATATTAAAATGTTTTGAGTTTTGTTAGGTGGTGTTTTTGTTAAATTCTCTCATCATCACTGAGGAATGAAAAACTAAGCAAAAAATACATGGGAGTAGAGCCCTTTAACCAGGGTTGTCATGAATTTTTTTTTAAACCCAGTCTGCCTATTTTTTTATTCATATAAATAGCCCAGTTTTTTTATGAAAAGTCCATTTTTTAATTCACTCTTTTTTTTATTTTTACTGATCATAATGTTTTTATAATTAACCTAAAAACTGAACGTGTATATAATTACAAAGAAATCATTAGTAAGAGATTTAGCCAGGGTGTGACATCTGCTCACTTAGTGGCATATCAAACACATCACAAGTACAGAGGCAGTACTACATTGACTAGGGAGCAAGAGGAACCAGCTGCTGAATGGCTGACACAGATCAGTCAAGCTTATTTACCCCTTTTGCTTACTTTCTCCATTCGTGATGAGGATATATACCCTAAATCAATGCTGATGCCAAAAAATGACAAACTTTCTGCATGGTCAAGTGTTGGAAACTCTTGAAAATTAAAAACTGTACCAATTTGGTTTCAAATGAATTTTATTGTTTCAAACTTGAACTAGGTATCCTTCTAGCAAGCTCTGCTTCAGTTGAGAGCATCTTCTCTACTTTTGGGCAAAGTCATACTTAATTACGAAACAGACTAGGTAATGAAAAGACTGAAAACCTTGTGAGGTTTAATTGGATGCCTAAAGATTAAGACAAGGACTGGTAAACACTATATACATGTAGTACACACACAGTAACAATCTTTACTCATCAGTCAAACATATCACTGTTAATAAAGTCTTGTTAGATAAGAGCTATACTTGTGGGTTGTAAATTTGTAATGTGTCTATTACAAACTCTTGTTTAATTATAATTTGTTTAAAAATTAAATGCTATACTGTACAGTACAGATACTTTACTGATTTTTTTGAACATAAGTTCATTTTCATTTTATGCAGTAATGAAACATGTTTATAGTTTATATATAAAAATTCAGTATTCATATTAATGATCTACATTCCATTAATGATTTACTCGAAATCTGAATTATGCTGCAAAGTATTAATGTATACAGTAACAGTACAATATTTAAAAAAAAAAAATACTGTATTTTTGACAATCCTATAAAAAACATAAAAGTTTAAGAGCTAGATTACCATAACTCTCTATATCCAAACCATAATAAATAATAGCTTTTTGAGTTAAGGTGCTAGGTCAGGCCCATTTATTTTTCAAACTAAAAAATCCAGTACAGGTGAGTACATGTAAGTGGGTAGCTACCCAGGAAGCTTCCCATGACAGCCCTATCTTTAATACTGTAGTTGTATATACACAGTTAAGGAGGTTTTTAACATTTCATCACCACTTGCTACGTTTTTCTCAGGTAGGCATATCTTGTGAAATATGCTGGGTTTTTTGTTTGTGATAAGACCTTGTTTTGTACATTGTATCACCACTTGTGAAATCGTGTGCATTCCTTATCACTCA